TGTGTGTGTGTGTGTAAGGTCAATATCAGAGTGTCCTTTCTCAACAAACAGCGGTCACTAAAGATGAGTGTTCACTGAAGACACACCCACCTCTCTCACACCTTCCTCTCCTTCCAGGTCCCCCCAAATACCTTCTCCTCCCCTCTCCACGGGTTCCAGAGGAAGGAAGCATAGGCCTGAGGCCAGCCAATTTCTCTAACACCTGACCCTTCTGAGCAGGAGGAAGGGGAGTCTCTTTTCCTGGGAGCAGGTGTGGATGGGATCAACCCCCCTACACACACACACACACACACACACACACACACACACACTCCAGGCCCACGCCAACTGTTGTGCATGTCCTGGAGTCATTTCTGAGTCATAGCCACCCTCCTGGGCACAGCAGAACTGTCTCCTCGGGTAGCCTCAGCTGTAACCTTTATAGGAGACATCACCAGGGCCTTGCTCTCAGGCCTTGCTGGTGGGTTCAAATGACTGAGCTTTCTGTTAGCAGCGAGTGCCTTACCATTGCACCACCAGGGATAATAAGTGACTCCTTAGCCAAAGGGTCCCCCTGTACCCTCTCCTCAGAAGAGCCAGAGGGTGCTCCCTGGGGCTGGGGAGGTCTGTCTCTGTGTCCTGCCAAGCTTCAGGTGCTCCTGCAGCCCTTTCAGCTGCAGACCCCTGCCCCTGGGTGTGTGTATGTGGAGGGGCTCCCCTCCTACCTCCCCAACTACAATCTAGTGGGCAGTTCTTTCTAACGTACAGGGGCAAAGACCCAATCATATACACACAGGTCCTTATGAGCACAGCACACCAGCATGCACACGTGCTCCGTCCGTCCCCCTTCGCCTTTCTCCACCCAAACACACACCACCACACTGACACAAATCTGCAGCACACACACACCCATTCTTACCTACTCATACATATTCCATTCAGGGCCACAGACACAGGCTCTTCCAGACACACAACATCAGTCACTCTCCACAAGAACCACCCTTTCCCTTACACACGTGTGTACACACACGTCCCTTCTGAAGTCCCTGGGCACCAGTTCTAGAATCCACTCCTTGCCACAGCTCTCTCAGCCCGCCTGCCTGCCCTTTGGACGAGCTGTCACTTACCCGCGCATAACGGGACGAGTAGGGGTCCTCGAAGAGCGCCCAGATGCGCGGCTGCCAGCGGCGCCAGAAGCCGCCCGGCCGTCCATCGGGGGAGTCGCTGAGCGCCAGGCGCTTGGTCATCTCCAGCTCGTCCTCGCCGTCTCCCGAGTCGCCGGGACCGTCGGCGTCCGCGTCGTCCGCACTGTTGTCCAGGGGCGCGCCACCGAAGCTGTCCAGCGCCTCCTCGGCGTCGCGGTGCTGGCGATAGGTCATCCAGCAGCAGGGCTCCACGTCAGTCTCGTCGATGCCCCAGAAGGCCAGCTCCTCCTCGTAGAGCGGCCCGCACACGTCGGCCGGACAGTGCAGCTTGCCGGTGCGGTAGTAGTTCAGGATGTGCGCGAAGACGCCCGGGTGGCGGTCGAAGAAGAACTCGTCAGCGCGAGGGTCATAGTCGAAGTGGCTGTGGGCGTCGGGCTCGGCCAGCCAGGCGAGCCGCGTGCCGGGCAGCGTGCGCAGCGTCGAGCGGTACGTCTGGTGGCGCGTGCCGCCCACGTTGATCACGATGCGCTCGCTCTCGTCCCCTTGGCCCATTGCGGCGCCCCCTTAGGCATGGCGCGGCCTAGCGACACCCATGGGAGCAGCCGCCAGGGGGAGTCGGCACCGGGGAGGGGGGCACGCGGCCTCCTCCCCCCTCCCCCCAGCCGTCGGGGGCTTGGAAACAGAGGAACTTGGCTCTGGCCTTCCCAAAAGCGACCCAAGCTCCTCGGGGCGCTTTCTGTTGGATGCCGGTCCAGGGAAGGGTGCGTGGAATCCGGAGGGTGTCCAGGCGCCAGATGTGGGCGGAAACTGGTCCGGCTGTGGAGGAGGCAGAGGAGGGAAGGAGGAAGGAAGGGAGGGAGGAAGGGAGGGGGGCGGCGCTCAGCGGCAAGCCCCGGGAGGTGGAGAGGGATGGAGGGGCCGGGCTCCCGTTCCCATCTCAGCGGGAAAATGGGAGAGATCCACACAAAGCTTTGGGGTGGGGGGCGGAGGGGGGGGTCAGCGTCTCCCCGTGCTAGCTAGGCAGACCAGCTCCGAGCCGGGGAAGGGGACGTGAGGCTGCCGGAGAGCCGCACTCTGCGGTGCGGCGGTCGCCGCAGCGCGCTCTGGGCGCGTAGGAGATGGATGCTGGCTGCCTTCCTCCGTGTGTGGCGGGGCTGCAGCTCCGGGCGCAGGGAGGGCTCCGGCCCCCTCCCTCTCTCCTTGCCTGGCTGCCTGCTCCCCCGGCAGCGGGCGCGTCCGCCGCCCGCCCTCCTGGCTCCTTCTCCCCGCCTCCCGAAGGAGACGGCGGGCCCCCTGGGCAGGGGCGCCCGGGGCACTGCTAGGTGCGGCAGCGGCTGCGCGCGGCGCTCGGTGCGCTCTGGCTCGCGCTGGGGCTCCTCTGGGCTGCGCTCCGAATCCCGCTCCGGAGGCGGTGCTGAAGGGACAGCTCCCGGGCTGGGGTTTTCCGAGCCAGGTTCGGTCTGCGGGGCCCGCGGGCACTGACTCCGGTGGCTCCGCGCCCCGCGCCCCGCTTTGGACAGGCGGTTGGCGATGCCCTCAGAGGCGAGGGGCTGCGGCGATAGGGCCCGAGAGGCGGGGGTGGCGGGTCGGGGTGCGGCGAGGTGAGGCCGGCGAGGCCGGGGAAGAGAGGCGCGGAGCGGCCGCAGCCGCCGCGAGGCTGTTGGCGACCGGGCTGCTGCTGGGCTGGCTGGCTCGCTCGCTGGCTCGCTCGCTGGCTCGCTGGAGTGGTCCGCGTCCAGCTCGCCGCTCTCCGGACACGGGCACACGGCGCGCGCAGCCGCACTCGCCCCCAAAGGGAGGCGCCGCGCTGGGTCCTAAAAAGCCCTGATTCTGCGCCCCCCTCCCAGCCCCGCGCTGAGCTGGGCCTCCCTCAACCCTGGCGCCTGGGGGATGTCCGACCCCCACAGCTTCTGCCGCTCCCTGGGGGACCCGCCGACGCTCCACCCTAACGGAGTGCCGTTTAATGGGCTGGGGCTCCGCGAGACTGAGGTGAGAAGGGCGGCACCACCCCTCTCCCTTTCCAAACCGGATTTGCTGGTGAGATGAGACACCCCCCCACCTCCGCCGCCATCAGAGGCACCTTGTCCCTGAATGATACTGACCGCTCTTGTCAGACTGACCGCTCTCGTCAACCATTTGATACCAACCCTTTCCACCACACGTGGACCCCCAGGGCCCTTCCCTGTGGACCCTCTTATATGGACTCCCTAATAATGCCCTGCACACTTTGACCTCTGAGCTGTCCACTGCCATCCCAGTAATGCTGAGCCCTAGGTAGCCCGTTTTGACCACTTCCCAACTCCCCTTCCATGCTCCACCTTGATGAAGAACCCACGGCCCTTCACAAGAAGCTCCAACCTTTAGGTGGGAGTCCTTATGAAGAAGGTGCTTTGCCCTCAGAAGAAAGGGGAGCAGATGGACACCCCCATCAACTTCCCCCTGGAGTTCATGCTGTGTTTTCAGGTGACAATCCCTGGCTGCTGGGCTTCCTACAGGGTCACCCCATACCACAGCTAGTCCTAGCGGTGGGACTCGCAGTTGAGGGGCCCTTTGGGGTCCATGATTTAGGCAGTGTCTCAGTTTATCTCGTTAAACCACCACTGTTTGACTCATTCTGGGATCTGCCCCAGGAACAGGGGTGAAAGAGATGAATCATTCGGTCTCTGCCCCCAAGGAGCCCCCAGGCCACTGGGGAAGTGGACAGGTGGGCCAGGTGGGGCAGTGGTCAGGCCCAGATCCAGGGATGGTTGTGCTGGAAGAGAAGTTTATTGATCCCGGCCCAGCCCAATCGAACACAGGCTGCCTGGGCAAAGGGCGATTTAATTAAGAAGATACAAGGCTCTTATTCATTTGTTGGCACTTGCTAGCTGTGCAGACAGCTGTCCGTCTACATAGACCCACAGACCCCATCAGGGGCCTGGAGACACACTGGACTTCAGGCACCTCTCTCCTCCCTTGGGCAGGAACATCTCAAGCCCAGCCCAGGGGAATCTTGGTGTGATGGGGAAAGGCTTGGAGGATTGGAGAGCTAGGAGGAGGGGCAAGAGGCAGAGCCAGGGGTCAGGGTAAGGGGAGGCAAAGGAAAGAGAGAGAAAGGGAAGCAGAGTTTGGACAGATACAGATGGGGCAGAGATGGTCCAAGACAAAGCCAGGGCTGTAATCAAGGACCAGGATGTCACCCTCTCCTGCTCAGAAACTCAGAGAGGAAGACAGGCATATAAAGAGCGCTGGCCAGTGTCCCTATCCCTAACCATGAGAAGGCCGGTTCCGATCCAGCCCAGTGTGGCCCAAATCTGGATCCTGAGGATACAGTTTCTCAGAGGGTTCTGCCTGTACCCAAAGAAATGATGAAACAGAAATAAATGGAGAGCCCAGAAGGAAAAGAAAAAGATGAACACACACAGCCACAGAGATGCAGCTGGGAGAAACCACAATGGAAAGAGACAAGATGAGGATTCTCCAAACCTTCCCTTCCTTCCAACTAGATGTCCAATCCTTCTCCTCTCCCAGGAAACCTTTGGTAGTTCCTGAAACTCTAGGGGCCCAGGCCCCTTCATTTCTTTCTCCTGCAGGATGATATGGGCTCAGAGGATGGCTCCCCAACCATCTATAGCTCATCTCATTTTCACAAAAGGACTATCATCGGAGCCAGGACTTCCCCATGTTTGCTTCTCCCCACAGTAGCTGGCATAGTTGTTTTTCACAAATGGCTGGCTGGTTGGAGAAGGTCCGGGGGACAGGCTGGTATCCTTGAATCCTTGTGTCAGAGATGGAGGGAGTATGGTGTCCCTCACTGAGTCAGAGTCCCAGGAAGAGCTTAAATAAGGTCTCATAGGGAGTTAGTGCAGCATCCCACCCAGACGCTGCCCCCTAGTGAGGCAGGCTGGAAGCTGCAGTGTGACCTGGGTGACTGGGAAAAGCTGGTGGAGAAGGAGGAGAGGTGGATAGACAGAAACTCAGATCAGGCCTGGCCCTAGAGGGTGGCCAGAGGAAGAGAGGCAGGCCCAGGTTGAAGAGTGAGGGAATGTGAAATGTAACAGTGCACCCTAAAGCCCCCTAAGAAGCAGAGGAGAGAGAGCAGTGCCCAGCAGGAGAGGGCAGCTGCCCCTGAGGAGCCTGCTGCTGCTTCACTTTAGGATTCTCACTTTGGGCCCTGGTGCCACACCCCAGCCCAGGCCCCACAGAATGCCCCCCTTCTCTAACCTAAGCAAGGACGTTAAAGTCCCTTCTCTCACTCCCCCTTCACACTGCTAGAACGCTGGCATTTTCAGAATGCCCAGAAAAAACCCAAAAGGGCAACCCAGAAATAAAAAGTCCCAGAGAAACAGGGGTGGGAGGAAGGGCTTCTGTCGGAGCCCCAGCATCTCACCCACAACCACTAACCACAGGCCCAGCTGAGGACCAACTTCATTCCTCTTCTACTTTTGAGCAACACCACTCACCCCGTCCCCACCCCCCACCGTCCCACCAACGCCTTCCCCCATTCATAGCCACTTGCCTCCTCTTTCACAAGACAGGATCTGGGGAGGGTCTAGGGCAGCAGTGACTGGCGGGGTAGGCACTGAACTGTTGACAGGGTAGCTTTGTTTCAAGTATGAACCCTAGAATCTGCCTACTTAGGTTCAAAGCCCACCTTGACCGTTGACTGTGACCTTGGGCAAGTTATTCAGCTTCCCAATGTCTTGGTTTAGGAGCCCCGTGGCATCGTTATTAAGCACATAGCTACCCACAGGAGGATCAGTGGTTCGAGCAAGATGTGGCAGTCTGCTTTCAAAAAGATTACAGCCTAGAAAGCCCAGGGGGGAGCTCTACTTTGTCGCGGTGGGTCACTTGGAGTTGGGCCCAGCTTGACAGCACCTAACAGCGTATCCTTAACACCCCAGTCCTCACACTCCTCTGGGAAGCAGTGCTGGGCTTGGGTAAGCTCCATGGACTCGTGGATGAGCTAAGGCGGAGAATGAACAGTTCAATCTAGTGACCACTGTTATCTAGTCAAAGGTAGTCAAAGAGGAAGGGAGTACCACGGAGCCAACTTTGGACTATTTTCTCGTACATGTCACTTCCAGGCCTTAGATCTGGTCCTGCTAGGCTCTGGAGCCAGCCCAACTCCAGCTTCCAAGCCTTGGTCCAGGTTGGTACTTCCTTCATGCTGTGCTCCCAGGCCGCCAGCCTCGGTGTTCCTCATGGGTTGGGTTGCCATCTTGTGGCCACACCTGGAAACGAACTGAAGCCCAGCACAGGCCTACTGGGTTTGTGAGAGGGGCCATCTCAGGGGAAGCAGTGGAATAGACAGGTACCCTCTTCCCAGACACGACCTCCCTCCACCAGTGGGTAGGGAAGTGTGATCCTAAAGGTGCCATCATGGGGAGTTAGGGACTGTGGCCACGGGATCTATGCCTTGAGCCTGACCCTGGTTCCTAACCTAGGTGTGAACTGGACTGAGCTAGGGTAGGACATACAGCTGCTCCTTTCTGCAACTCAAGCACCAAGGGCTCCCGTACCTTTTAGGTCATGGACAGTCTAGAAAGAAGCTGAGGTTGTGAAGCCTTGGGAGATGGCGTGAAGTGTCTAGAACAGGTTTCCTCAACTTCTATCCAGAGCTTCTTAAACGGCGACTTACCATCCCAGATGGGTGGTAGTGAAAGTTTTGGCAACATTAAAAGTTTCCTGAGTGCACAATGACCAAAAATAATGCAATATATATATTGAGCAACACCACTCACCCAGTCCCCACCCCCCACCATCCCACCAACCCCTTCCCCCATTCATAGCCACTTGCCTCCTCTTTCACAAGGCAGGATCTGGGGAGGGTCTAGGACAGCAGTGACTGGTGGGGTAGGCACTGAACTGTTGACAGGGTAGTTTTGTTTTAAGTATGAACCCTAGAATCTTACTACCTAGGTTCAAAGCCCACCTTGACATATATATATATATAGATAGATAGATAGATAGATAGATAGATAGATAGATAGATAGATAGATATAGATATAGATATCTCCCTAGGGTTAGATAATGCTGTGCTTCATAATACTGTTCAAATCATTAACTTTACTGAAAACTGTGATTGCTTGTATACTTCCTGCATATACTTATAGACCTGGGGTCGTGTGAAATCGTTCTTGGGTAAATAGGGGTCGGTCATGAGTTAAGTTAAATAAAAAGCTTATTGAAGTTTGGGATAGATGTCCTGACTAGAGAGAGGTGTCGTGACTGGGAGTGTGTGCTGTGTGTCCAGGATCAAGGCTGCCTGGCCTACAGAATTCTGCTCTATACGACGG